GGATGGGGTGGGGGGGAGGTTGGGGGGGGGAAGGAGGGGTGGGGGTGAGGGGAGGGAGAGGGAGAAGGGACTTACATTTGAAACAAGCCTGTTCCCTAACTTGAATTAATAAAAAAAATTTCTAATTTGAAATTTGAGGAAGAATCATCTAATTTCAAAACACAGGGATCTGACAAAACCAACTAATTTTCCCATAACCCACGAATCATCCACCATAATAGTTTTCTGTCTTTGAGCTTGCAATGGAGTTGCGCCACCTAGAGCATGGCTTACAGAGCTGGAGGTTAAGGCCTCAGGAAAAAAAAAATGTCCTCCTAGGAAGTACTGAATATGGCCACAGTGGACATGCAGGAGTTATTTTAGTTTCTGTCACCCAGCGTCCAGTGTTGACTGAATTCAGAAGAATGCAACAATAAATCTGTCCCTTGAGCATATCTCCACTTCTCACATCTTTACATTTTGTTAAAGAACAAAGTGTTTCTACTAACTACCTAGTTATAACCTACACAAACAAAGACAGCCTGACTGGAAATGAAGAAAGGCAACATGTGAAGAAATAAAGATGAGCATGGGATTTAATAGGTATCCCTCCAAAGATGACATACAAGAAGCCCATAAGAAGATGCTCTGAATTACCATAGGATCCAGCAATTCCACTCCTAGGTTTAGACCCAAAAGGACTGGAAACACGAACACATACAATGGTGGGTGCGAATATCCGTGGCAATGTTATTCATAATAGCTAAAATATGAAGACAGCCAAAATATCTAAGACCCAATAGCTGGACCAGTAAAATGTAATGTGGGGAAACCACACAATGGGAAGTTACTTAGCCATGAAAGGAATAAAGGGGGAACACATAGGACATCCCAGATAAACATGGAGAATATTATGCTAATTGAAACACAGGCAAAAATAACCACACACCAGAAGCTACTCCTTGTGTGAACTTTTCGTAGAAAAGAAAACAGAGGGAGAGGGCATGGGAGAGAACTTTAGTGGTTACTGCTGGCTTTTCTGTTGTCGTTTCTGTTTGTTACTGTTTTTGAGAGGTGGAAGAACTGATCTGGAATTGGATTGTGGTGATGGTGGCACAAGCTTGTAGATAAACCACAAGCCACTGATTTCACTGCTGTAAAATGCTGAATTGTACTGGTGTAAAATGCTACAGCCAGTGAGTAGTATTGTAATAAAAATTATTATTACAAAGTATTCAAAGGCTGCTAAGTCTTCTCAAGCACTGCACCTGTTTTAGTTAAAACTATGTTGCCTTGGAATAACTGTACTTCCCAACCTTTATCTGAAATTAGTTTTAATAATTAGCTGATTTTAGTATTCTGATGTTAAATTCTAATAGAAGATTTGAATAAATAGGATTTCTTTTCATTCTCCCTCAACAGTCCCTGCATCTACCTCTCAGGAGAAAGTAATAAACACTTGGGAAGGCCAGCCAGTGCCCGACTATCAGTTTGAGAACACCAACGTGGTTCCTGAGAACACAAGAAAGTTTTCATCCCATGATGCCAATCCCTATCCTGGTGTTGTAAAACTTCAGAAGAAAAGCACAGACAAAATCAACACCCACAGCAGCTTATTTGGGAGGAAACATCCCCAAAGGGAACAAAGAGGTTTCTCAGATAAATGCTGCCTTAAAGGGTGTACAAAGGAAGAGCTGGCCGTTGCGTGTCTCCCGTATGTTGATTTTAAAACAAATAATAAACGTCACTGGTAACTGAGATGTACAAACCATCGTAGAAACTATGCTAGCTTAACAAATACTTGCTAAGTCTAATTTACCACTCATTTATTCTTGAAGTGATGCTTGTAAGTTATGCTAGATTGTGAACTACATTGGAGCAGTGAACGACCATAAGAGCCATGGACAGTGCCTTATGGTGGTGACAGACATCTTGGTATTTAGTGACTCCTTTTTGTCATATTTTTTTCCGACTTTTTTATTTGAATTAGAAACAGGATTGATTTACATGACAATCCCAGTTCCCTTCTCCCCCCCTACCACACCCCTCCAAATAAACCCTACTTATCACATACCCTTTCTGCTCCCCAGGGAGGGTGAGGACTTCCATAGGGGGTTTTCAGAGTTTGTCATGACCTTTGGGATAGGACCTAGGTCCACCCCCGTGTGTCTTGGCTCAGGGAGTATTCCTCTATGTGGATTAGGCTCCCAAAGCCAACACCTATGCTTGGGATAAATACTGATTCACTACCAGAGGCCCCATAGATTGCCCAGACCTCCAAATTGACCTCCCTGCTCAGGGGTTCTGGGGCAGTCTTATGCTGTTTTCCCAGCTATCAGTCTGCGGTCTATGAACAACCTGTTTCTGTGGGTTTCTCCAGCCTGTTCTTGTCTCCTTTGCTCATCCA